ACAAAGCTGTATCTATAGGCCAAAACTATGAGACATCCCAAGAAAGTATGAAAGTAATTGGGAAAAATGAAGATGCAAAAAATCATGCTATTAGGAAACAGGCAGAACATTACCAGAGAAAAGAAAAAGGAATTTCAAAGCCTTATAAAAGCAAGCATTGCAAGCCTTCACTGTCAACTAAGCAAAAGAAATGCACTAAGTGTGGCTATGATGCAACACATAAAGTATGTCCAGCCATGGAGGTATACCTCCATGGTCCAGCTAAGAATAAAACATGTGCTATCTGTCAGAAGAAGAACCACTCGCTGCAGTTTGTAGAAAAAGAGATACCAAACGTGAAAGTACACACCAGGTGGAAGAAAATTACTCCTCAGATGAATCAGAGATTGATTATTCACACTTTGTTCACGCTATTGGAAATGTAACCAGTAGTGAATGGTATGAAACAGTAAAAGTAGAAGGAAAACCAGTGTACATGCAGATAGACACAGGAGCAGTAACAAGTATCCTGCCATACAGTTGGCTTAAAAATCAAAGCTGTTACCAGAAAATGAAACCAACAAAGCAAAAACTTCAGTCGTATACCAGTCATGCATTAGAAGTAAAAGGCCGCATAATCTTGCAGACTACATACAAGAATCGTACCATCGATGTGTTGTATTATGTTGTGAACACTGATAAACCACCATTGCTATCGGGAGCGGCAAGCAAGCAATTGCAATTGATTCAGCGCATCCACAGCATTAACGACTACCCGCAGTTGTAAAAGACACTCCCAGGCACATATTCACTGAAGATCGACCCCACAGTGAAACCAGTAGTACATGGCCCAAGGAGACAGCCACTGGCATTAAAGAAGCGGTTGAAAGTTGAAAAGTTAGCTGAAATGGAACGAAATGGTCATATCACAAAAATATCAGAACCTACTGATTGGGTCAGTTCCATGGTAGTTGTAGTGAAAGGCAACAAGTTAAGAATATGCTCCGACCCTAAAGACCTCAATAGGGCAATCAGAAGAGAACATTACCCGATCCCAACAGTTGAAGAGGTAGTGGGATCGATGGCTGGTACAAAAGTCTTCTCTGTAATAGACGCAAGGTCAGGCTTCTTACAAATAAAACTTGACTATGAGTCAAGCCTGGTGACAACGTTCAATACACCAATAGGACGCTACCATTGGTTGAGACTACCATTTGGAATAAAAGGTGCTCCGGAAATATTCCAGAAAATAATGGACAACATGCTAAGTGGCATTGAAGGAGCTAGAGCAGTAATGGATGATATCCTTGTAGCTGGCTGAGATGAAGCACACCATGACTCAATAATGAAAAAGGTAGTGCAACGAGCAACAGACTGGAATCTGAAACTCAACTTTGACAAGTGTCAAGTGAAGAAACGTAAGGTGAAATATGTAGGCAGGGCTCGAAATTCACGCTAGCAAACTAGCAATTTGCTAGTAGGTTTGTCATAATTGCTAGGTAAAAATTCACAAACCAGCAAATTAAAAAAAAATGATTGCTAGTTGGAATATCTATACAAAATATCTTGTAATCTCTAGTATTAAACTAAAACTAGACTAAACTGATCTACAAAAACTAATACAAATTTTATTTATTTATTTTTAAATTATGAAAATCGACTAAAAATGCCTATAATCGACGAAAAACAATCGTTTTTTTCATCTTGAGCATCAGGAACATGATGTGAAGTCCACCACCAACATTACTTTTTTTAAACCTTGGCAACAAGCAAAAAGTAAGCAGTGTGCAGAGAAAAAATCGCTTTCCTCACATCTGAGGTGTTTCTACCCTTTAAAAATTTTCCTGATTTCCAACCATCTTTTGGGACATTAGGCCTTTCTCTGGTAATTGCTCTTTAATTGGATTATAATCATTGCTTTTGTAATTTATTGCCTATGCAAGGTCAGCTATACTATACTACACCATAGGTATGCATATGTGATTTATTGACAACTTGCTGGAAAACTAATTAACATTTCGTCTCTCTCTTTTGATATTGAGTTTGATTGTCAGTTAAGGTCAGTGCAAAGTGAGGTTCCTCAATCCGTGAGAGCTATTGCTGAAACTGGTATTGAGGTAAAGGGAATGCAGCATACATGCCAAGTTTGAGTTTGGCTGTGGATAGAGATTTGCACAGGAACGAAACAATTTAGGCGTGGGTTGAGGGCCCGCCTAGGGCCCCGGAAATTTTTAGGCCTAGATGCTCTCTGGTGCACTCTGAGCAG